GACAGAAAACAGCCTTTAGGGGTCACAAAAGTCGTAAGTATGCCAACAGCCGCAAGAGGGTGAATTGGAAGGAAAACTTCAAATGTATCTAATGAATACAATTTTAGGCGTCAAGAAACTGACGCAGAAAATTTATCGAGATTGGAACAGCAGCCTCAAAATCGACAAATAAAGAATCCATTACGTGAGAGATTAGCTTTTCATTTTACCCTCACAGTAATCTCTTAAATCTTTAAAGATCTAAATCCAGGTTTTTAAATAAGAAGAAAATATATTTGTATTTTTGTGGCAATAAAAAATGTAGAGATTAAGCTCCAGGACTTTGTTGCTCTGGTAATAAAGTTGTGAGATAAGAGAAAAAAAATCTTTTTTAATATATATTTTTGGGAGTTTGAAATCTTAACATCTTAAAAAAATAGCCCTTTCCGTAAATTACACGGGAGGAACTGCAAATCAACCGCTTCTAATGGCCAACGATTATTTTATGGCATAAGGAACGCACGGTACTTTTCAGCTTTAATATATATTTTTGGGAGTTTGAAATCTTAACATCTTAAAAAAATAGCCCTTTTCGTTAATTACACGGGAGGAACTGCAAATCAACGGCTCCTTATGGCCAACGATTATTTTATGGCATAAGGAACGCACGGTACTTTTCAGCATAATTATATTTTTTTTTATTTTTACAGCTCATTACTTGACCAAACAAACTGTATGGATTGCGAACAAATATGTTTTTAGTAAGAAGATTTTTGTACTGAGAAGTGTCAGGAATAAATGTAAAATTTCTAACTGAAAACGCTTCACAATACATGTCAACACATTACGGTGTTCCATTTAGTAAGTCTCGGGCGAAGCCGAGACAGGGGGCCGCTAGTATTTTAATATGTAAATATGTACTTGTAAGTATATTTTATTTTTAATTTAACACATCTATTTTGATAATTACTATCAAATAAGAAATTTTACCACCGTATGTTTGTTGAATTTCAATACTTGGTGAAAGTGCCAAATAATCAGCCAACTGACCTTCAATGGAACATACCTATTTTTAATAATATATGGTTGTTCGATAAATAATTTATCCAAGATAATTTAATCACGAAAAATTAAAAGTTTTTAAGTGTTTTTCCGACCTCGGGCGTTTTTGAGGGTCAGGTAGGCTCTCGGTAGGAAAACTACTATTTCGTCGAATAAGTACCGTCGTCTCCAAGGCTATTTTGCGGTCCGAGGGATCTGCAAAGCAGGACCCGAGGGACGTAAGGTAGCCGCGGAGCGATGGCACTTGTGTGGCGAATCCTGTTTTTCCTACTGAGGGCACACCCGACCCTCAAAAACGCCCGAGGTCGGAAAACTACTGTTTCTAAAAACTGAATTGAGATTTTTCTTTCGCCATCTGCTTGGCCACCAATATCCAGATTGAACGGCACGCAATAGTGGGTATAACACGAAAAAAAGAAACTATGGAGGATGCGTAAAAATTAAGTTTGAAAATAATACTACTTAAATTTATTATCGTCAAAAAGGGGGATACAAACGTGGCTTTCGAAGCAAGATCTGGGTGGCCGGATATAATTTACGCTGAAATGAATGGACCTGATTCTCCAGGTCACGTATAGGTACCAACCGGGTTCTCCTGGTCGTATGTCTATAGTCTGGCTGCTGCTCTAGGTATACACCCAAGCTGGCCTGACCATCGAACGAATTTTTTCGGACTGATCTGCTCGCGAAGGAGACCATGGGCTTATATAGCCAAAAATCTTGTCTCCTTATCATCGTCACTATGGCCAGAGACGACGAGACGTACATAGGTTCTTAGAATCAGTCTGCATCATCTCGTGGCAGGGAGAGGGAAAGATTTTCTATATCTTTTCCGTCTCCCTTTACATGTGCTGTTTTGGTTTCGGGGTAATGCTTACTCGCTAAAGAATATTGTATGGTAATGATACTGATCCCAGTATTTACTTATCGAAATTAGGTCATATTACAGTTCACGTTATTTTTCAGCTTGGTGGCCGTGGGTAGGTATTGGAAGTGTTAAGAAAAGAAAGTGGTACCCAAGAAGTTTAGCATGCCGTTGCCAAGTCTCGTTGCATGAACGTTGTCCAATGTGTGAACCAAGCAATGGTTATGGCAGAGAAAGGGTAGAAAATAATATAATTATTGAGTTTCACCGAACGATGTAGATAAGTCTGTCAACGTATATTAGAGGGGGAAACAACTTAGCATCCATCGGCGAAAATATTTACACTCGGTTTTTTTGCATTAACTTATGCAAAATGATCCCCTGAAATCGAATTTGCACGTTGCCAGGTCCAAAAGTTAGTCCAAAACTGTTTAAACAATTTTCGTTTCAACAAATTTTGCAAATTGTTTATATTGACTCGAAAAAATTTTTTTTACTATCTTTGGACTATAAACAAGAAAAAAGTTATTTTGCAACTTTTTTCTAAAGTTAATACTTTACGAGATATTAATTATTCAAGTTCAAAAAAATGCGAAAATGGCTACTTTCATCCATGAAAAACGATATGAAAAACCAACAATTTCCATGATGCTAAAGTTCTTAAATACTCTATAAATATCCTAGGATATGTTCCCAAAACTTTTTAGACTATTATTTTATTGTAACCCCTTGTTTTTTTAACTGTTTTGGGCTCTCTGACGCTGTGAAAAAGTATATCTATTAATGAAGGTCCACGACTCTCATTCATAATATATAATTGTTGAGAAACTTATTGTTTTTGTGTAAAAAAAGTTTTGATAAAAAAAAAATTGCGATCGTGGGCCTAAGTGTCAGGGGTGTATTTATGTATGGGCGTATGTAATCAAGTTTTTTGACTAACTCATGCAGTTTTTGTCGGATTGGGCCGAAATTTGACAAATAGCTTCGTCTTTTATGTCTTACGTAATTTTTTGAAATCGGTAAGGTTTTCTGTTAAAAAAAAAAAATGGAAGTCATTTTAAGATGGTACTTTCAGTGAGAAAAAAAAAAAAAAAACAGAAAAAAACAGTTTTTCGGCTATAACTTTGTTACGTGATGTTTTCAAGGTTTGCTGTGAAAGACAAAGTTGTAGATATAATTGAAGTAAAATTTTTTCGTATTTAATATTTTCATCCCAAACGTTCTGTTCCCAAAAACCACAAAAACATAGTTTTTTCCTATCTAACGTACTTATTCGTTTTGTATTTTGGATTATAATATTGAATGTAAAAGCTGTGGATCTCATTGAAGTACAACTTTTTTGTGTGAAACATTTTCACAATAAATACAAAGGCAAAGTGTAATTTCACATATAAATATACATATCACATGTAACTTTACTTGGAATTGCATATGGTATTACACAAAGGATTTTCGAATGATAAAGCTATCAGTAATTACGTTTATGATTATACAAATAACGAAAATTTCTATAAATTTTCTACATGGGAAAAATAGTTGAAAATTGGTACTTCATTTCGTGAAACATGATATGGTCTTGACAGGCTTTACCATACGGATATCCGTATGGTATAACACTAAAACAGAAAAAAAATGGAAATTTCCAAAATTCAAAAATACTTGCTAACTTTTAACTTTTTTTTTTTTTTCGGTGAAGATCTATCTATATTGAATAAGGGTGCGTCACTTGCAGCACGCGCAACCCATATCACAGATCACAGAAAAATGCCCCATGAGTGTGAGAGACGGTGCATGGAACGGGAAGAGACCTACTCTCTCTCACTTTCATGGGCTAAGGGTTCCGTACACCACGCCGTACGGACGCGTACGGATTCCGTATCCGTATACCTACTCCATGCCCGCGACATATATTGCCATTCCAAAATCCAATGTGTATACTATTAAAAATATAATAACAATATCACTCATTAAACGTTATGAAAGCGGCAGTTGCACTTTGTGCCCACCATAAAATAACTACATTTATTATGAAAGGAGCAAGAAAACATTGGATTGCCACATCATGTACTATAATTGCTCTATATATAACTTCTGCAACTCATATGATTTATGATACATCTACTAAATACATGTAGCTATCCACAAATTTGTATTATTTTTGTTAGAATTAATTCAAAAAAGTATGAAAATTGTAAACATGTCATTTAATTAATTTCTTACAATACGTGCTTCATAATAAGTAAAAGAACTAGAGCTTATTCGTTTTTGTATATCAAAATAATTTATTTTTAGAAATTGCAACCGATGCATCGTTTGACAAGATATTTGAATTAACCTTTCAAAAGTGTAATACAGATGCATCTCCAATACAGATGTAAATGGTCTGTATGCTTTGCAAATACATGAGAACGTATTGAAATAATCAGAGGGGTATTCAGGAAAAAATGTATAAAAATACTTGATTTTTTATGAACAAAGTCGCCATCAGCTAGTATGATTATAATATTTTTACAGGCTTAACATAGTTATTACTTATCAACTTAATTGACACAAGCATTGATGATTTATTTTGTGCCAGCAACATTTTGAATTACGTTTAAAGCTTGTTCATAAAAAGTAAAATGAAATGCAGTGGTTAAAGCCGCTTTAAACTGACTAGGTCCTAAGCCTTTGAATAAGCCAGATATTCCTTCTTTTTGTATTGTCAGGGAAAGACAATTCTTCAGACCAGTGCAGTAAAAGAATCCACCAAAACCTTTTCTTCCGTGCTCAAATCCTTGTATCTGCAGTCGTTTTCTAGCCAAGTCAAGAGGGTAGACAATAGTTTTGGCCACCAGGCCAGCTATGCAACCAGCTACCAGGCTGTTTACAATTCCCACCTGCTTGTGATGATGCTGGAAACCACGATTTAAAAATTAATTTTTTCTGTATGTTTTTTTTCGTTTTCAACATTTTATTATACATTAAAATATTTACAACATCCTCGTTGTGTGGCAAAAACTTGAAGTCTTTTATAATTTCATACGTTTCGAATTGCAGACCAACATGAGGTGCAATTTGAAGTAATGAAGGTAACAAGCCTCGAAAGAAACCCTTGAAAGATTCAGTTTTATATATTGTCCTAGAATAAATGATATAAATTTAATAAGTACTATTTACACATTTGCTTGATTCTCAAATAAAATAGGACCAAAGCTTCAAATAGTAATATAAATACTTGCTTGCATGAATGTAGAGTTCCCATGTAGGCTATATTCTGAGATGATTGCGCAATCAGTCTGGTTCTTATAATGTCCAGGGGAAAAGTAATCATGGTAGCACAACAGCCAGCTGTAGCTCCACTAATAAAATGAACTGTTTTTTCCTTTTCCTTCAGGAGACTATAAGTTTCTAAATATTGATTTACAATAGTGTATGTATAAAACTGAAATTATAAATAACAAACTTGACAAAAATATCACCCAAATGATTGATGTAATCACATTTTCATTCATACCTGGCTGGTACCAAAAATAATAGATAACAATTGGGCTGGAACATGGCCTTTCCAAAGTGCATAGATGCTTTCCTCTTTTGAAATGAGCCTAAATGTCTGTAACATTGATTGATATTTGCTGGTAGTACCTTTTTTTATTGGCTCCACTTGTAGCTATAAGTAAAAAATACTTTCAATGATAATTATGTGTGATTAATAAAAAAATTTCTATAAAACTTAAGTACTTGTAAGAGAAATGGAATCAGCTCTTACCTGAAATCTTATCTTGACAACATCCAAGGGTTGACAGATAAATCTTGTCAAGCAGCCGCTGACTGCCCCAGCAATCGCATGGTAGGTGGGATCTGATGAAGCATACATTACAGCCAATGACGATTTTGAGCTTTCGCAGAGTACACATGAAAGACCTCTTTGTTGCAGTTATCCCTTAAATACACTTGATCCAGCCCTCCAACCCAATTGTTAACTGATAAACTTACGGAAGAGGTACCATGTATGTAATCTAAAAAATATACTTTGACTATGACGAAATAATTAATCGAAGACAGTTTAATAGTATTTTAATAAAATACAGTACTTAACTACTTGTACGATGTGCGTGTACAGAATAACCTTACCTTTGACAATAAGCCCTTATGTACATGTATGGATATTGTGGGTGCGTTCGCATTCTATCGATTGTTCCATAATTAATGCAGTTTGAATTGAACTAAGGAGCTATTCACATAGACATTTTTTGCTTATTTCATTGCGAACGTTCATATTGAAAAGGGGGTTCCACTGTTCCGCTAAACTCAAATTGAGTGAACAGACTGAACAGACCTATACCTCTTTTTCCATCTGGGTCCGTACCATATAACTATTTTTCTGTACATCGGCCTATGTTATAACATAGGCCTGTGAAGCAAAAAAAAGTTATATGGTACGGCCCCAGACAACAAAGCCTATGGTCGCAACTCGCAACTATGTTGACTGACAGAGAACACAGTATAGGTCTGTTCAGTCTGTTCACTCAATTTGAGTTTAGCGGAACAGTGGAACCCCCTTTTCAATATGAACGTTCGCAATGAAATAAGCAAAAAATGTCTATGTGAATAGCTCCTAAATACAGAAGGTTTATTCAGACGCCAAAATCCGGCGATCCACGGCTGCCAGCGCTAACCCATACTAATAGTACCGTTATCGAGCCGGCTTTCCTCCGCGTATTAAAACCATGCTGGATGCGTAAGTAGTAGTAAGTGTACATTATACCCGCTGCGGCAAACGCAACATAAGATATGATACATCTCTTTTATTTTTATTTTTTTTTCAATGATCGACCCTCCTGTTTATACGAGTACGCTTGTTTCTTTATTCTATATGGATAATCGAGTACGTGTACCTTCCTGGAGCTCTTTTTTTTTTTTTTTTTTCTCTCTCGGATAATTAGATGTGCCACTAATGAAAACAAGTACTTTCTTTGAATTTTTCGCGCTCGATGGTGCCGAAAAGTGCAAACTACTTTAGTACATAGTAGCATTTGTTATAACCTAATTAGAATAGAAATTCACTTTCACGGCTGTTGTACTTATACTACTGTTTGAGGAAAAAAGAAAAAAAAAAGAAAAGTAAAGTGAGGGAGACAAAAATTTTTCTACAACCCTTTGCTCTGCCATTATATGCAACTACTCGCTGTTACCATACAACTTGTTTTCTTTTTTCTCTAGTCGTCGTGATTTTCAGCAATTGTTCGAACGATGTTTGTTTTGAGTGTTTTTTTTTTTTTTTTTTTTTCGTTTTTTTTTTTTTTTTCATGAGAATACGGGGAAAGAATTTTAATGATTCTTAAAACGTTAATCTTTTTGGAGACTGTAAAAAAAAGCCTAACCCATAAAAACGATCATTAAAAAATAAATGTTAGATATCCGGCAGGAATACGCCGGCCATTGGTAAAAACTACAAACTTAATTTGTGTCAAATATTATGGATTTGTATAAGTATGGAAAATGATGTTCTTTCAACAGTTATAAATTTTTCTATTTTCTCTACTTATTTTTGCTGTAAATTATTAAGCACGCAAAGCTTTTGCTATTGCTTCATTTACTATTATTTTTTAACGAAAATTTCCAGTAGAATACGAAATTCGTAAAATAACTTGTTTAATTTCAATCACATCTGAAAACACCCAGACGTACTCATATTAAAAAATTAGAATCTTTACTAGTCATTTTAGTTACAACGATGATAAATAAGAAAACTTAAATTGCATTTATTCATATTTTCATAAAAAAAAAATAATAATAATAATAGAA